TGGGAGAGATTCGAGTCAGGAGGGAGCAGGAGGGATGTACTGACCAGTGCAGTGTTTGTGTGTGTGAGTGCACTGGGAAAGCACCAAATCCTTGGATATCCAGGTCTTCCACAGGCAACGCATTCACAGGGTTCAGATATCTGAAGGAAAACTACAAGGAAACATAGAGAGAGATGATTCCCAAGGGATGGAGGGACAGGACACAGGGAATGGCAGGGCTGGATGGGATATTGGGCAGGAATTGTTCCCTGGCAGGGTGGGCAGGCCCTGGCACAGGGTGCCCAGAGCAGCTGTGGCTGCCCCTGGATCCCTGGCAGTGTCCAAGGCCAGGCTGGATGGGGTTTGGAGCAGCCTGGGATGGTGGAAGGTGTCCCTGCCATGGAGGGGGTGGGAGGAGATATTTAAGTTTTCTGTGAATTTGTGATTTTAAGTGCAAAGCTCCCAGAGTCTGTGGGAGGCTGAGGAAGGGTCCCGTGGGAGCTGTGGGTGCTCTGTCCTCAGGCCATCCCCATTCCTGGGGAATGAGCCCCTCCACACTTGTTCTCCCGCTGCTCTGAGCGTTTTCCCCGGATTCTCAAGGCAGGGAGAGCCTTGCCCTCCATCCTCTCCCCACGGGGCAGCAGAGTCCCGGCTGGCACAGTGCCCGGAGCTCTGGCTGCCCTGGCTGTGCTGCCCCAGGGCTCCAGGGCACCCTGGTATTGCCTGTCAGGGAGATTGGTGGCATCTGAGCCGCCAAACTTCCCGAGCCATTTACAAAGCGCCGCTCGCCCAGCACCGCTCGCTGGTGATGGATGGAGTTATTATATCTGCACAATCTTATCCTGCCCCCCAGCAAAACTCCCTGCTGGCTGCAGCGGGGCTGGGGAGGGCTGGGCAGGCTCACGGAGCGCTGATCACATTTGTCTTGCAGGGAGAGGGAGAATTGAGGGCTGCAATAAGCAGCATTAAATAGCCAAGAGTGTGGGATTACAGCTCCCAGCCTGCTGCGCTCCCACAGCCGCTTCCCGTGGCCTTCCCATCATCCCTGGGCATCAGGAATGCTTCCTGGAGCTCTCCTCCCATCTTCTGGTGTGGCTCAGGTGGGAAAACCTGGTCTGAGGTGGGGTCAGCTGATACCACAGGCAGGACTCTCCCCGGCTTGGGGACATCAGAGGATGCTGTTCCCAGGCTCTTTTCCGTCCTATTCCCTGCTTTGGGAATGTCGTTTCCACAGCAAAGGCCAGGTGTAAGGGTCTGAGAGGGCACAGAGGGCTGAGGGTCAGATGAAAGGGTTAACAGAAAAGCCAGCAGGATTCCCGTGTGTCCATGAGAAGAAGAAAAAGAAGATGAAGGTAGGGGAAAACAAAGAATATCTGTGCTGTGGAAAACACCACGGGAAAACAAGACTTATCTGTATTTTGCATTTTTGGGGGTACTTTCTCAGAACAGGGCTTCCACCAATGGACTTGAGGGGTGGTGTGGTGGTGGCTGATGAGATGGGGCACACTGTGGGGTCAGAAGGGGATAAAAATACTGTGTATGGGCACGATAAAATCTTGGATTAAGTTTCTTATGGATCTGCTTTGTGTCGTGTCTGCTCCAACAGCAGCACAAGGGCACCTGGAGGCAGTGCCCTTTCCCCCCGCCCACTGCAGCCTGTGTGCTGCCCAGACAGGGATAATTAACGAGTGAGGGTTAATTAATCCTCCCAAACTTTGGGAATGGTGAACCATCGCTGGCTGAACCCTCACAGTTGGTGTTCCCTCTGCAGCTGCAGCCAGGGTGGGCATTTCTGGGGCACAGGAGTCACCCCCAGGGAGCAGGAGGGTGCAAGGCTGGGGAGGGACTTGCAGAGCCCGGTCTGGAGCCCCAGAGGCCGGGGCGGGAGCTCTGGGGCTCCTCCAGCTCCAGCAGGGGTGGATGATGTGATCATCCACAGCAGGGTGATGTGCAGGCCAGGACTGGTGACCAGCTGTCTGGATGGGCACAGGAAGAGCGAGCAGGCTGTGACACCGGCACGGGGTGCCCAGAGCAGCTGTGGCCATTCCAGGGATTCCCTGGAATGTCCAAGGTTGGGTTGGACAGGGCCTGGAGCAGCCTGGGTCAGTGGAAGGCGTGCCTGCCATGGTGGCAGTGATGGATGTGGAGCGAGGATAGTGAGGTGAACTGAGATGAGCTTTAAGCCCCCTTCCATTGCATTCCATGGCTCTGTGATCCCAGGATTCCGTGATTTGTGTTCCGGAGCAGCGATGGGGGGATGTGCGGCTCCCCGCGGGCCGTGCCCGTGTCACAAAGGGCTGCTCGGGGCAGGACGGGCGGGGCAGGCACATGGAGCAGGCACATGGCCACTGTCCCCCGGTGTGGGTGTGCTCGGAGTGCCGGCTGGCAGCAGGGGGCTGTGGCGACCTGTGGCTCCCAGAGCCGGCCCTGGGGGGCTGCGCTTCCTCTGCTGCCGGCGTGGGCTGTGGGAACCTCCGCTGGAGCCGCGCTCGGGATAAGTGTGGGAAGAAGGGCTGGGAAAGGCACAGCCGCTTCCCCCCGGAGCCAGAGCCAGAGCCGGGCCAGGACAGCGCAATTCCCACCCCCGGGAATAGCAGAGAGGGTTTAACCCTGTGTGGGCTGGGGAGGATGGGTCTGGGGATGCGGGACAGGGCTCGGTGCCTGCCCCGACACAAACGAGAGGCACCGGGAACACCTTTGCCTGCTCCTACCTGGGGACACCCCTGCCCACCCCAGCAAGGGACACTGGGGACACCCCTGCCCACCCCAGCAAGGGACACTGGGGACACCCCTGCCCATCCTAGCAAGGGACACTGGGGACAGCCCTGTCCACCCCAGCAAGGGACACTGGGGACACCCCTGTCCATCCCAGCAAGGGACATTTTGACAGCTCTGCCCACAGCAGCATCCTCGCAGGGACACCACCAGCACCAGCTTTGTCCACTCATTGAAACCTCGGAGTGACTGAGCAGTGAGTCCCAGCGAGGGCTGGAAAAGGCTTTTGCTGTCGTGTCCAGGTGGGATCAGAGGCTGGAAACCCAACAAGGCACTTTCTCATCCTGGAAAAGCACCGCAGGCCCCTGTTCCTCCCCGAGTGACAGCCCTGCCAAGGCACTGTCACACATCCCCAGGCAGCATCGGAGGAGCAGGGAGAGATGGCAGTGAATTTGCATTAAAAATGGTCACGTTGGCATTTGCTTCGTGGTGAACATCGCTGCTCTTCAAAGCAGCACACATTTTCACAGGGAAGAGGAGAGGAAGGAGCACACTGTCCCAGGTATGAGACCGATGCCTTTGTCCCGAGCAATTTTCATCTTAAGAATAAAAGAACTGCATAAAGGAAAATACTGCTGAGCACATTGGTTTGCAATTTTCCAGCCTTTAAAGGCTGGTCCCATCACTTTCCTCCCAGAGAGGTTTGTTCTCTGGCCCCTGAGGACACTGTTTCCTTGCCAGATCCTAATTTTCAAACCTCAGCTCTTTCAGCCCGTTCCAATAAACATCACAAGAATGTTGCTAAATAGGGAAAGCGCTTTCTTTCTTTCTTTTTTTTTTTTTTGTTCTCCTTAAGCCTTAAGAAGGAGAGAAAGATTTTGTTAAATGTTAAGAAAGGATTATTGGTGGTTGAGGCGCTGTTTATCCGAGCAGGGAGGGTTTGGAGAGGAAAGGAAGGGTTAAACCTTTTGGAGCAGGGGAAGTGGGCATGGGTGGGACTGGAAAATCGAGGAATGTTGCCCTGGTAGTGGAATTAGTGGGATGTTTGCAGTGCCCCTCTGTATCCCAGCTCTTCCCAAGGATGGGATGAAGATGGTGAGATGAAGATGAATGCGGTGGGATGAAGATGAACGCGATGGGATGAAGATGGCCATGACCATCAGGTTGTTTCAGGCAATTTAAAGACTCTTGCTTGTCCTTTCCCTCATTCCAACACCCCTGGTCCATCCCCACCAGGCCAAGGCAGTGGCTTTGGGCGCAGGGAGCAGACTCTGAGCCTGCCTGAAGAATGCCAGGCTAATTAGCGATTATTTTAATGAAGTGAGAGCTCATCAATGTCTCTGGAAATCAAGAAGCTGCTGGAAAGCTCCCATTGCACCGTGCTGGGCACGCTGGGGTTGGCTGGGTGACCCTTTGTGGCATCCCCGGGGTGGCTGGGGAAGCCCAGCTTCATTCCCTGGATCTGGGGAACGCTGGGAATGTTCCAGCAGCTCCATGGGTGAGAAAAACCCCAAAAGGTGCCGCTAAAGCCGCGAGAGAAACCAAAAACATTCGAGCAGAAGATGCTGCAGGAGCTGCTTTGCCCTCCCAGGGGGAGGTGAGAGCTGAGTTGATTGAGATGGAAAATTCCTGAGATTTGCAAGTCAAAGAAAGACAAATGAGTTGTAAGAGGTCGATGCTCTTCTGGGTCAGGGGCTTTAACCAGCGACAAATCCCTGCTTGTTCCCAGGATGTGGAAATTTGGGGGTTGCTACCTGAGCTGATGAGGATTCGTGGCTGGAAGTGTGGCCTGGGAATGCCTGGAAATGCTGGGATGGGAGAAGTTTAAATCCAGGGGTGACATCTGCGTCCCGAATTTTGTACAATTCCACGTGTTACACAGCAATGATTTAATGTGCTCACACATCTAATGAAAAGAATTTGAATTTAATGCAAAAATGAGGAAGAGATATGAGGCCATTTTGACCCCTAATCCATCTGCCCATCCCAGCAGATCCCAGAGCCTGGAATTCTGTTCCTAAATTCCCCAGCCTCATTTTAACTTCCTTGTGATTTTCTTTTTCTTTTCTTTTTTTTCCCCCCCCCTCGCTCCTCTATTTGCAATTTCAGTCAGCCGAGCGAGAGAGCGCTTGCCACGCACCGAGACATCCCTTTAACTCCCTTTCCTGGATGTAATTTCTCGGAATTTTTGTGAAATCCATCTGCATGGATCCCAGTGCATACAAATCCAATGACACCATTCTAATCAGCCTTAAATGCTGCAGCAGCCCGCTCCCATTTAAGCTAATAGCTCCCAGCAGGCAAAGGTTGTTATCCTTTATGGACCAGCCCTCTGGGGAGCCACAGGGAACAGCTTGGAACAACAGGGAATGCATTTGGAAGTTGCCAAACTTTACTTACTGCCTCGCAGGGCTTTGGGATTTGGTGATTTTTAATTTATTTATTTTTTAATTTTTTTTTCCCCTTCTCTACGTGCACAGCAAACGTTTCTGAGCCTTGATGTGCTCGTCTAAAATGGGAATTTTAGTTTGTAATCGCTCTCTCAAATTCCCAGGATTATTGGCTCTCACCTGCGTGGGCATCTGGAAGATTTTGGATTATCTGTTTTTTAACAGAGGAGAAAACTCGAGGGAGCTCCAGTTTGAGAAATCCCAGCGAGTTCAGGGGATTAACACGTGGCCTTCCAGGCGGGGATGTTGGAGGCAAAATCCTTGGGAAATGCCAGAGCTCTGCTAACAGGTTTGTAAATGGAGGTGCTTTGCTTTAAAAGGGGATATTTATTAGGTGTGCCGGTGGAATGAAAACAAGCACAGATGGGGGATAAATCTCCCTGAGCAGCAGTGCAGCACTCCCGGATCGCTCAATAACCAGATTTTAGCACCTCTAGGCTTTCCCAGCAGCTCTGGGGGTGGGACAGGAGGAGCGGCCAGTTCCTGTCCAGCCACTGCCTTTTCCAGCTGCTTGGAATTTTCCAGGCTCTGCCTCTGAGGTGTCCTCACATCTCTGCTTCTGTAATGAGGAGAGGGGTTTGGATGAAAGGAAAGTAGTTCACAGAATCCCAGGATCACAGAAGTTGGAAAAGCCCTCCCAGGATCATTGTGTCCCATCCCCACCCTGTCCCCAGCCCAGAGCACTCAGTGCCACCTCCAGCCCTTCCTGGGACGCCTCCAGGGATGGGCACTGCAAACCTCCCTGGGCACTTCCAATCCCTGAGCTCCCTTTCCATGGGGAAATTCCTGCTGCTGTCCACCCTGAGCCTCCCCTGGCCCAGCCTGAGGCCGTTCCCTCTCCTCCTGTCCCTGTTCCCTGGCAGCAGAGCCCGACCCCCCGGCTGTCCCCTCCTGGCAGGGACTTGTGCAGAGCCAGAAGGGCCCCCTGAGCCTCCTTTTGTCCAGGCTGAGCCCCTTTCCAGCTCCCTCAGCCTCTCCTGGGGCTCCAGCCCCTTCCCAGCTCTGCTGCTCTGGAGCCAGGCTGGGAGAGCTGGGAATGTTCACCTGGAGAGGGGAAGGATCCAGGGAGAGCTCAGAGCCCATTCCAGTGCCCAAAGGGGCTCCAGAGGAACTGGAGAGGGACTGGGGACAAGGGATGGAGGGACAGGACACAGGGAATGGCAGAGTTGGATGGGATATTGGGCAGGAATTGTTCCCTGGCAGGGTGGGCAGGCCCTGGCACAGGGTGCCCAGAGCAGCTGGGGCTGCCCCTGGATCCCTGGCAGTGCCCAAGGCCAGGCTGGAGGGGGTTTGGAGGAACCTGGGATGGTGGGAGGTGTCCCTGCCATGGCAGGGGGTGGGAATGGGTGATTTTAGGGACAATCCCTCCCCAACCCAGTCCATGATTCTCTGGGAATGCTTTGGGATTGGGATGCACTCCATTCCTCCTGGGAGAACTCCTGGGAGCCCCAGCCTGGCCTGGGCAGGAATCCTGGCACACATTCCATGGACCATCCCTCAGCATCCCGCTCCAGCCTGATTTTTGGGATGGGCCCTTGTCTTCTGCACTCCTCACTGTACAAATCTGCTGCTGGGCATGGAATTATTCATCTCCGGGCCCAGATAACATTAATGGGACACAAATAATGGCTGATTTTCCACAGCCATTCACTCCCAAGAATGAATGGGCTTCCTAATCCTTCTTTTATCTGGGAGGAGTTGAAGTGTGGTGAATTCAAGGTCTGAAGGTTCCTCTCTCTGCGCTCCCAGGCCTTGCTTGAGGTGCTGCTCAGCATTCCATGGGCAGATTCCTGAGGCCTGGATGAACTGATCCCCCCTTACAGCAGCACCTGTGAGATGTGAAATCTGCAGGGGTGCAGCCAGGGCCCCTCAGGAGAGCCTGGAGATGGTGCCAGAGACTTCTCTGGAGCTCTGGATGCCGCTGCCACCTTCTCACAAAGAGCCCTGGAAGAGCCCAGCAGGAGAGAAGGGAAGAGCAGGATAATCCACAGAATATTCCCTGAATCCTCCTTGCAGTTGCTGCTGGTTGGATGTTGTGTTCCCTGGGATCCCTGAGGATGGGCTGCTCCAGCCTCAGCGATGGAGGGCAGGAGATCTCCTGTGGTTGTCCCAGAAATGGGAAAATGTTCATCCCAGGAAGAGGAGGCAGCTTTTCTGGATTTTATGGCACAGCAGCAGGTCCTGCTTGGTCCCAAAAGGAGACAGATCCCGGTTGCCCAGGTTGGAAAAGACCTTTAAGACCATCAAACCCAACCATTAAAGAGATGTAAATGTGCAAATGCTCCTGGGTGGGGTTTAATGGTGAGGGTGTGGAATTCCCAAGGTTTGCCATGGGATGGGATTGGATCTCTGCCCGCTGTGTGCCCTGGCAGAGCTTCTCCCAAAAAACCAAAGGTGATCTACAGGATGCTGGACCTGGATCAGCTGAGCCAGAGTGTTTATTCCCCAAAATCATCTCTGGTTTCTCCTCTGCTTCAGTGGAGATCCCTGGGGAGGTGGAAACTCTCCTGAGGGTCCTTTTCCTCTAAAGTCACTCTCCAAGATTATTCCCCTGCTCCTGGAGACACTCCTACGTTCTCTGGCCATCTCCCTGCCCCAAGGCTGGCCCCCTCACCCCCCAAATTTCTCCTCCAAAAGAGGCTCCAAACCTTTCCTAGATTTCATTTATTGAGGCCAGAGGCTCCTTTTCCACATATCCGCACAGATTTTCTCCTTCTATCCCATCCAGCTCTGCCCTCCAGGCTCCCAAACTTCCCCTGTGCTTCTCTCACAAAAAGAGTGTGGGATTCTCCAGGAGGTGAAGCAGCACAGGATGGAATCTCCAGCTCCTGCTGGCACTTCCCAGCTCCCTGAAGGATCTCCCAAAGGCGCCCAACAGTTCCAAGCTCGTGGATTGTTCTCTTCCCTGCCGCCAATCCATGCAAACCCGGCCACATTTCAACCTTCTGTGCACACCTGAACTCCGTGGCTTTATTTTCACTGCAGGCTCTTTGTTCCTGGGTGCTCTGGGAAGGGAATTCGTGCCTAATCCTTCGATATGTGACTCCATGCTTTGCATATCATCCTCGTGTCCCCTGTCCCCAACATCTTCCCTTTTGTGACGAGCTGGGCTCGTGTCTGAACCCTCTTCCCTGATCCTAGAAGGTTTTTTCCTCCCATCCTGGGAGATTACAACTAATTCAGTGCCCAGCCATGCATGCCCAAATTTAAATAATAAATCATCTCTCCCTGCCAGCAAGCACCCCTGGACACGAAGGCAAAGCCCCACTCTTTCCTGGGAAAAATGGGGCTCTGCCTCAGCCTTGAAAATTCTGGGAATTGTGGATTGGGGGTGCTTCCCACCTGCCTGCACATCCCCCTTCCCCACCCTCCCTGCCTGCCTTGGCTCTGCTCTGAAGAAAATGATTGTGTTGGGATCCTCCAAATGCCAGGGAAGGGAGCAGGGGAGCCCAGAGGAGCTGATGTGGGGTGAGGATTAAAGGGAAGACACGGCAGAAAATGAGAGCAGGGAACAAAACCTGGGGTGCAGGAGGATGAGAATTGGTGTGTGACCCACGTGCCAGTGTGCTAAATTCCCCTCTCCACCACCGTAAAGGGGCTTTATCCTTTAACCAACACCGTGGTGAGAGGTTTATTCAAGTAGAAAATTTTTAATTGCATTCTCTTGTAGTCAAATATTAATGGAAGGACCTTGTACAAATAAAAGTGAATAATGCAACAGCTTAGCTGACAACATTGTTTCACATTCATTGCAGATTGTGAACCTTCATTAAAATGGATTATTTTTGCTTTGGAGATTTAACCAGCAACATGACTTTCCCCTCTCGCTGGCCCTGTTCTGCCTGAGCCCGCAGAGAGCTCGGGCCAAGGAGGAGCTTGCAAAATTAATTCCGAAAGAAGAGGCTGAAACTTCCAGGACGTGAATTCTCCTCATCCCCTCGGCTCAGAGCAGAGCTCAGCACAGAAATCATCAGGCAAGGGCTTGGAGCAGACCCCTGCTAAGGAGGAGGGCTCGGGGGAGCTGGGAAAGGCAGGGAAGGATCTCAGCAGTGACCTCTTGGGAAGTGATCTGAGGGGATCCCAAGCCCAAGGGGGTCAGAGGGGGCTTTAGGACAACAACACCACCCTTTGGGAGGGTCAGCTGCTCCTCTGAGGCAGCCAGGACAGCGAGAGGGGTCTGAGGGCAGCTCAGCCCAGAGCAATCCTGGTCAGAGAATCCCAGAATGGTTTGGGTTGGAAGGGACCTTAAAGCCCATCCCATTCCAACTCCTGCCATGGCAGGAACACCTCCCACCATCCCAGGCTGCTCCAAACCCCATCCAGCCTGGCCTTGGGCACTGCCAGGGATCCAGGGGCAGCCCCAGCTGCTCTGGGCACCCTGTGCCAGGGCCTGCCCACCCTGCCAGGGAACTATTCCTGCCCCAAATCCCATCTGACTGTGCCATTCCCTGTGTCCTGTCCCTCCAGCCCTTGGGAATTACCTCTCCATGTTTCCTGCAGCTCCTGCAGGCCCTGCAAGGCCACACTGAGCTCACCCCAAAGCTTCTCCTCTGCAGGTGAACATTGCCAGCTGTGCCAGCCTTTCCTCCCAGCAGAGCTGCTCCATCCCTCTGCTCATCCTGGAGCCTCCTCTGGCCTGGCTCCAGCAGCTCCAGGTGCTCCCTGTGCTGGGCCCGGGGCTGGGGCAGCTCTGCAGGTGGGGTCTCACCTGAGCACAGGGCAGGAGGTGTGGGACCAGCCCAGGACTGGGTTGGTTTTCCTGTGCCACCACAAGGATTTTCCCCATTTCCAGCTCTCCCTCCTCTGTCTGTGCTGTCCCAAAGCTTTGATGCCTCAGTGCCTGCAGTGTCCCTGCTCCTCGTGCAGCCCCATCCCAGCTCTGTCACCCCAGAATGTCCCAAGCAGCTCCAGCAAAGCCCCTCTGCAGGAAGGGACCCAGCATCCACAGGAGACATTTCAACCTCTCCAGGGTTTTTCCCAAGCCAAGGGAGCAGCCTCAGGTGGAGGCAGGAGACTCCCATCAGGAGCAGAAGTGCAGCTCTGCTGTCCCAGAGCTTCTCTCTCCTCCCGAGGGCTTCAGAGGGATCCGACCCAGGTGCCCAGGTGGCCTCGGCACCGGGGTGCCTGCGGGCACAAAGGAGCTCCAGCCAATTTCCCCAGGAATCCCCTTCTCCTCACTCATCTGCATATGGCTTGGCTGGGAGGTGGAAGCTGTTTCCCAATCTTTCCAGCCACACGTTTTCCCTGTGCCTAACCCGGGATTAATTGGGTTTGGAGCTGCGGCTGTGGGGAGGCTCTGATGTCCTCCGGTACGGTTTGACTCCCGAGTTCCTTGGCAATTCTAATTCCTCGCTCACACTTCGAACAGCAATTCCTTGTTATTTTTAGTCCTAAAACATTATGAACATAGAGGAAACGAGACACCTACAGAAGTTGCCCCTGTGCAAAATTATGAATGATTCAAAAGTGCTGTCGCAATTGCCAAGCTCTCCTGTTCTAAAAAGCTTTGTAATATTCACAGTATGGGCTCGGCTGGCTCCTGAGCAGTGCAAAGCACCCGGCAGAAATTAATTGTCGAGCCCTGCATTTACCCTCGGGGAATCAGAGATAAAAGCACCGAGATTGGGGGGGGGTGATAAGGGAACCCCACCCTCCACCCTGCGCATAGGGAAACCGCTCCCGCCTCAGTTTCCCCTCGCTCTGGGGGGGTGGGAAAGCGGGAATATTAGCACTGGGGGATCCCGTTAAAGCAGCTTTAAGGGGCTGGATGAATTAATTCGCTGCCGGTATCTCGCGGTGCAGGTGTTCGGTGTCCCCATGGAAGTCACCGTGGGGCCGCTCGCTGTCACTGCGAGCTGTGGGGTGACCGGGGGATTTATATTTGTACAATGGCCTCGCTGTCGAGGCGGACGAGCCCCTGACATGGCAGCACTTATAGTCCATAAAGCAGCAATTATCCCTGTTATTAGATCATCCCATTTCCAGCCGGAATCCTTCGCCTGTGGAGCATGCAAAGCGAGCCGGTGCCTCTCCCAGTGCCGGGCTAATCTGTGCTAATCCATTATGTAAATCACCCGGACAATAACCAGAGACAAACGCTCTGTGTCTTCCGAGCATCCCGCCCTCCTTAATGAAATTTGACCCTCAAAGGCGATGGTTTGGGCTGCAGGGTGCTGGGAGAGCTGGCTGGGAAGAGCACCCGCACTTGGCAATTGGGAGGCGCAGTTTGGAGCCCTGGGGCACCTCCTGAGCTCTGCCTTTCCATGGGGATGCTGCTGAAGCGGTCCCCGAACATTCCCCGGCCCTTTGAAACGGGACCCCTGCCCCTAAACCAGGTCATAACCCGGGAGCGGCTGCTGCTGCTGCCTCGGGGCAATGCTCTGCACGTGGAGTCTCCAAAGGGCGGCCTTTGTGACCAGGACCTTCGGGAATCTCAGGGACAATCAAACCTGACTAGGTCAGGACAGAGAGTGTGTATTTTTCCTACTCAAAGCCACCATGATGGTGATATCTCCCTGTGACAGCAGTGGGGCACTGGATGAGATCCCAAAGGGCAGCAGAGTCCTTTGGAGTGCAGGGGATGGAATTCCTGACCTCAGGAACAGCAGGTCCACGCTGGAGAACTTCTCCTGCGTGTCCATCCTGCCCCTGGACACAGCTCAGACACCTCTGAAGGTGCCCAGGTGACTCTGAAGTGTCACCAAAGGGCTCTGCCCACACTGATGGCTCTTCCTCATTGCAACTTGTGTGGCTGTTCTTTACAGACCCCTTTTTATGGATCCCTCAGTACTGATTCCTTAACCCCTTTTTATGGATCCCTCATCCCCTTTTTATGGATCCCTCAGTACTGATTCCCCATCCCCTTTTTATGGATTCCTCATCACTGTTTCCTTATCCTGTTTTTATGGATTCCTCAGCACTGATTCCTTACAAACCCCTTTTTATTGATCCCTCATCCCGTTTTTATGGATCCCTCAGCACTGATGCCTCATCCCGGGCTCCGTGGTGCAGGTATTGAGGGGATAACGACCTGAGGGCACTCTGGTGTCTGCCACGAGGCCTGGCAGCAATCCACCGAGATCCAGGCTCTCCTTGGGCTGTGCTCCTCGCTCTCCCATCGCAGCAGGGAGAAGCAAAGCCACAAGGGGATGCCAGATAGATTCTCCTCTCTGCCTGCGTTTCTGCTCCTTGGGAGGGAATCTGGGCTGTGGCGATGAATATTTTAGAAACGCGGGGCTTGGGAATCTCGATGGCAACATGTTTTAGCAGCACTTCGCGAAGCAAACACAGCCCTGGCTGTGTCTGTGCTCCCGCTGTCTGTCGGCATCTCCGAGCCGAGCTGCGAGACTCCGCCGG